CATTGGCATTGGCTGGGTCTTCACAGGTAAAAAATACAATGTACTGACATTGGCATTGACTGGGTCTTCACTGGTAAATAATACAATGTACAGACATTGGCATTGACTGGGTCTTCACAGGTAAAAAATACAATGTACTGACATTGGCATTGACTGGGTCTTCACAGGTAAATAATACAATGTACTGACTGTGGCATTGACTGAGTCTTCACAGGTAAAAAATACAATGTACAGACATTGGCATTGACTGGGTCTTCCCAGGTAAATAATACAATGTACTGACATTGGCATTGACTGAGTCTTCACAGGTAAAAAATACAATGTACTGACATTGGCATTGACTGGGTCTTGACAGGTAAATAATACAATGTACTGACATTGGCATTGACTGAGTCTTCACAGGTAAAAAATACAATGTACTGACTGTGGCATGGTCTGGGTCTTCACAGGTAAATAATACAATGTGCCGACATTGGCATTGACTGGGTGTTCACATCAGGTAAGTAATGCTGACTTTAGAACCGACTTTGTGAGTCCATATTGTTATTTCCCTTTAATGGCAATATCAGATAAGTCACTATTATCTCTCTTGTTTGCTCTTTTCATCTTGCTTTGTTTCCTTCACTGTCCTTATTTACCTCAATTTCTTGGCTAGCTTACAGAATACAGCTTGAGCTCGATGAGAACAAATTCCCTGCCATCACAAGTATGAATGTAAGACATCTAACTGGTTCTGAAGTAACTCAATTTTCTTTCATCCTTCTATTCAAGTTCTGCACAAACTTTAACAAATGAAGCTTTCAAAATTCTGAATTTCACTGGAAAATTCTTGGCAAACTGTCCCCACAACTTTAGCAAAGATGGGGTAACTGTATAAGAAACTTGTACACTGTTGGAGACTAGTTGACCATCAGAGCCTAATGCAGAAACATGGTAAGAGAGCTGCTTAACTAAGGCAGGTCTGTTAGAGAGTGGAGAAATATGAAAGAAAGACTGCAGAAACGGTAGAAGATTAACAATCCAATAGAGTACATTCATACATTATCTGGATATAGAGAGTGAAATCCTTGAATGGGAGATAAAGAGAAGATAATGAAATGTCAGAATCCACCCTCAAAATTTGTTTCTAAACAATGCTGATCAATTTAGGAAATATATGATTTCAAGAAGTTTGTGAATTTGGTACATGCATTTAAGCTATGGCAAAGTTTATCCATTGGGCAAAGAATATATAAAGTCCAGAGAATGGAAGAAGATTAAGAACACAAACTACTAAATTTCCAAAACTTTTTCATCCATTACAACAAAATATACCACTTTAAGTTAAGCAGATAGGAAATATTGACCAGATGTCCTTGGTATCTGACCACTGTCCAGCAACATCAGGATAAACAAAAGTGGCTCTCTCTTCTCTTTGCTTTAATCATGAGGACACTTCCATTGGGTGAAGATCTATCATTGTCAGTTGTCAGTTACAATAGTAATGCATGGTTAGATAACAAATAGATGTGGAAAATGGCCAGGTAGTTACCTTAGAGTAGACTTTACTAGTTCTTGGTGCCTTCAAATGCCACAAAACAGACAATTTCAAGTTGTTAACAAGTGACTATTGACCACTTTAGGTATAATTCCCACTGGAACAATTCTTCAGCTCATGACAGCATCAACAAGTCCATGTTGGCAATATTCCGAAGAAATGGTTAGGACAGGTATGCTGTAGTCTGACACACATTTATAATGAAGCCTGCCTTGACTGACATTTATGCTGGCTGCTGGAATAATGAAGCCTGCCTTGACTGACATTTATGCTGACTGCTAGAATAATGAAGCCTGCCTTGACTAACATTTATGCTTACTGCTGGAATAATGAAGCCTGCCTTGACTGACATTTATGCTTACTGCTGGAATAATGAAGCCTGCCTTGACTGACATTTATGCTTACTGCTGGAATAATGAAGCCTGTCTTGACTGACATTTATGCTGACAGCTGGAATAATGAAGCCTGCCTTGACTGACATTTATGCTTACTGCTGGAATAATGAAGCCTGCCTTGACTGACATTTATGCTGACTGCTGAAATAATGAAGCCTGCCTTGACTGACATTTATGCTGACTGCTGGAATAATGAAGCCTGCCTTGACTGACATTTATGCTGACTGCTGGAATAATGAAGCCTGCCTTGACTGACATTTATGCTGACTACTGGAATAATGAAGCCTGTCTTGACTGACATTTATGCTGACTGCTGGAATAATGAAGCCTGTCTTGACTGACATTTATGCTGACTGCTGCAATGAGGATGACTGCACTGACAGACACTTTTGCTGAATAATGTGATGAGGAAGCTTGCATTTACTGACATTTATGCTGACTACTGTAATGAGGAAGCCTGAACTGACTGACACTTATGTTGACTGCTGGAATGAGGAAGTTTGCACTGACTGACATATATACTGACTGCTGGAATGAGGATACCTGCACTTACTGACATTTGTGCTGACTGCTGTAGTGAGGATACCTGCAGTGACTGGCATTCATGCTGTCTGCTGTAATGAGGATACCTAAATTTACTGGCATTTATGCTGTCTGCTGTAATGAGGAGACCTGCATTTACTGACATTTGAGCTGTCTGCTGTAATGAGAATACCTGCATTTACTGACATTTGTGCTGTCTGCTCTAATGTGGATACCTGCACCATCTGGCATTTATGTTGTCTGCTGTAATGAGGATACCTGCAGTGACTGGCATTCATGCTGACTGCTGTAATGAGGATACCTGCAGTGACTGGCATTCATGCTGTCGGCTGTAATGAGGATACCTGCAGTGACTGGCATTCATGCTGACTGCTGTAATGAGGATACCTGCAGTGACTGGCATTCATGCTGACTGCTGCAATGAGGATACCTGCAGTGACTGGCATTCATGCTGACTGCTGTAATGAGGATACATGCAGTGACTGGCATTCATGCTGTCTGCTGTAATGAGGATACCTGCAGTGACTTGCATTCATGCTGACTGCTGCAATGAGGATGCCAATGTTGACTGATGTGCAATTTGATAGTAGATACTTTAACAGAGTTGGATTCAAGTATAATCATTCATGCTTTCAAAAAAAGTGATGCATCTGGAACAAAATGGACTGCATCAAAGATGTCACCTTGTGTGAGGACAAAATGAAGCACCAGACACCACATGGAAGGTGAGAAATATGTTAAAACAGCAACCTACACGAAAAAGTAGAAAGTACCAAACATATACCACCCTGAGAGTGAGATTTTTAAGCACCAACACACCATCAGGGTGAAGACAATGTAATGCAACAACACCACCTGGAATGTGAAGATGATAAAAAATACCATCCTTTGAGTGGGGCAAAATAAAGTGTCAATATGATTAGGTCAGTATGGATAAAGATGGAGACCTATTACAATGTAATTCCTGCAATGATGAAAACAAGGACTTTCTACGAGAGACAACTATGAATTCGACACCCAATGAATTCCAAAGACTGGAGGATCATGTCCTTTGAATACTATCCATATAATCCACAAGATATTGTGTCACCATTTTTGTTTCCTTTATGCTGACCTTCCAAAAGTAAATAATGAAGCACAGTTGTGATTTCATCCGAATCATTCTATTGGGAATATAGCACAGTTTGACTTTCATCCAAATCATTCTATTGGATATATAGCACAGTTGTGATTTCATCCGAATCATTCTATTGGAAATATAGCACAGTTTGACTTTCATCCAAATCATTCTATTGGATATATAGCACAGTCTAAAGTACTCCAAACCATTCTATTGGATATAGAGCACAGTTTGAATTTCATCCAAAACATTCTATCAGATAAATAGCACAGTTTGAATTTCATCCAAAACATTCTATTAGATAAATAGTACAGTTTGAATTTCATCCAAAACATTTTATTAGATAAATAGTACAGTTTGAATTTCATCCAAAACATTCTATTAGATAAATAGCACAGTTTTAATTTCATCCAAAACAAAACATTCTATCAGATAAATAGTACAGTTTGAATTTCATCCAAATCATTCTATTAGATAAATAGTACAGTTTGAATTTCATCCAAAACATTCTATTAGATAAATAGTACAGTTTGAATTTCATCCATAACATTCTATTAGATAAATAGTACAGTTTGAATTTCATCCAAAACATTCTATTAGATAAATAGTACAGTTTGAATTTCATCCAAAACATTCTATTAGATAAATAGTACAGTTTGAATTTCATCCAAAACATTCTATTAGATAAATAGTACAGTTTGAATTTCATCCAAATCAATCTATTAGATAAATAGTACAGTTTGAATTACATCCAAAACAAAACATTCTATCAGATAAATAGCACTGTTTGAATTGCATCCAAATCATTCTATTGGATATATAGCACAGTTTTGATTTCATCTGAATCATTCTATTGGAAATATATCACAGTCTGAAGTACTCCAAACCATTCTATTGGATATATAGCACAGTTTGAATTTCATCCATATCATTCTATTGGATATATAGCACAGTTTGAATTTCATCCGAATCATTCTATTGGATATATATCACAGTCTGAATTACTCCAAATCATTCTACTGGATATATAGCACAGTTTCTTATTCCAAATCATTCTATTGGATATATCTTGTATGTGATCAGGTGTGACATATAAATACACTGACAGAAAATCTCTATAACATGTGGTCAGTTATCACATACAAGTATAATGCACTAAAAGGGGGTGTGGTGTTTATAATTTTTAACGAAGCTTTAAAAAAATTTCAGTCATATCGCTTTGATGTCTGCAGTGTGGCAGTTTATAGTGATGTCTAGCACTGGGACATCATGCCACAGACATGTAGCATGATGCCCCACCCAGTTACATTATCCTGACACCAGGCCAACCGGTCCTAACACTAACCTCTTACTGCTGAGCGTCAAGCGAGGCAGCTGTTAGTACAATTTTTGTAAGTCTTTGGTATGACTCGACCGGGGATTGAACCGACGGCTACCTGCACTCGAGGCAGATGCTCTAACCACTAGGCCACCGGAGTGGTTAAATGCACTAAAAGAAAATCAAACAAGTCCTCAATACATACAGACTGACTGAAAACCCAAAACATGCACTATGCATGGACTTTATAAGTCCTCAATACGTATAATAGAACATAATAGACTGATTGAAAATCCAAACCATATATACTATGCATGGACTTTATAAGTCCTCAATACATATAAAATACTGATTGAAAATCCAAAACATGCACTATGCATGGAATTTATAAGTCCTCAATACATATAATAGACAGATTGAAGACCCAAAACATGTATACTATGCATGGACTTTATAAGTCCTCAATACATAAAATAGACTGATTGAAAATCCAAAACATATATATCAAACATTGACTTTATAAGTCATCAATACATATAATAGACATTGAAAATCCATAACATACACTATGCATGGACTTTATAAGTCCTCAATATATATATAATAGACTGAAGACCCAAGACATATATACTATGCATGGACTTTATAAGTCCTCAATACATATAATGGACTGATTGAAAATCCAAAACATATATCCTATGCATTGACTTTATAAGTCCTCAATACTTATAATATACTGATTGAAAATCCAAAACATATACTTTGACTTTATAAGTCCTCAATACATATAAAAGACTGAAAATCCAAAACATATATAATATGCAAGGACTTTATAAGTCTTCAATACATATAATAGACTGATTGAAAATCCAAAACATATATACCAAGCATTGACTTTATAAGTCATCAATACATATAATAGACTTTGAAAATCCATAACATGCACTATGCATGGACGTTACAAGTCCTCAAAACATATAAAAGACTGATTGAAAATCTAAAACATATATACAATGCACAGACTTTATAAGTCCTTGGTACCAATAATATCAACTATGGCACATTGAAAATGAAGATGCATCAAAATAACTTAAAGTAAATCAACATTATATGTATTAGAACTGCTATAATATCTTTAAGATAATATCACATTTATGAAAATTTGCTCTTTCCATGATTTTGATACTTACAGCTTGCTTTGGGAAATGTTCATGTACTAAATAAAGCAATACCATCAAAATAAATGTTCATGTACTAAATAAAGTAATACCATCAAAATAAATGTTCATGTACTAAATAAAGTAATACCATCAAAATAAATGTTCATGTACTAAATAAAGCATACCATCAAAATAAATGTTCATGTACTAAATAAAGTAATACCATCAAAATAAATGTTCATGTACTAAATAAAGCAATATCATCAAAATAAATGTTCATGTACTAAATAAAGTAATACCATCAAAATAAATGTTCATGTACTAAATAAAGCAATACCATCAAAATAAATGTTCATGTACTAAATAAAGCAATACCATCAAAACAAATGTTCATGTACTAAATAAAGCAATACCATCAAAACAAATGTTCATGTACTAAATAAAGCAATACCATCAAAACAAATGTTCATGTACTTAATAAAGCAATACCATCAAAACAAATGTTCATGTACTAAATAAAGCAATACCATCAAAATAAATGTTCATGTACTAAATAAAGCAATACCATCCAAATAAATGTTCATGTACTAAATAAAGCAATACCATCCAAATAAATGTTCATGTACTAAATAAAGCAATACCATCTAAATAAATGTTCATGTACTAAATAAAGCAATACCATCCAAATAAATGTTCATGTACTAAATAAAGCAATACCATCCAAATAAATGTTCATGTACTAAATAAAGCAATACCATCAAAACAAATGTTCATGTACTAAATAAAGCAATACCATCAAAACAAATGTTCATGTACTAAATAAAGCAATACCATCAAAACAAATGTTCATGTACTAAATAAAGCAATACCATCAAAACAAATGTTCATGTACTTAATAAAGCAATACCATCAAAACAAATGTTCATGTACTAAATAAAGCAATACCATCAAAATAAATGTTCATGTACTAAATAAAGCAATACCATCAAAATAAATGTTCATGTACTAAATAAAGCAATACCATCAAAACAAATGTTCATGTACTAAATAAAGCAATACCATCAAAACAAATGTTCATGTACTTAATAAAGCAATACCATCAAAACAAATGTTCATGTACTAAATAAAGCAATACCATCAAAATAAATGTTCATGTACTAAATAAAGCAATACCATCTAAATAAATGTTCATGTACTAAATAAAGCAATACCATCCAAATAAATGTTCATGTACTAAATAAAGCAATACCATCCAAATAAATGTTCATGTACTAAATAAAGCAATACCATCCAAATAAATGTTCATGTACTAAATAAAGCAATACCATCAAAATAAATGTTCATGTACTAAATAAAGCAATACCATCTAAATAAATGTTCATGTACTAAATAAAGCAATACCATCCAAATAAATGTTCATGTACTAAATAAAGCAATACCATCCAAATAAATGTTCATGTACTAAATAAAGCAATACCATCCAAATAAATGTTCATGTACTAAATAAAGCAATACCATCAAAATAAATGTTCATGTACTAAATAAAGCAATACCATCCATATAAAAGTTCATGGTCTAAATAAAACAAAACCATTCAGATAAAAGTTCATGTACTGAATAAAGCAATACTGTCAACCTGAAATAAATATTTTATGGCATCCTTACCATTTCTTAGAACCTGCATTAAATTCAGTTAAACACAACTGCCTATTATTCCAGAATCTTTATGTAGCATTGTCCAACTCTTACACTTGGATTCTCTACATTCCTCTGCTGTGCAGTCTGCTTTTCAAGTGTTTAACTAAAAATTGTTTTTAAAAATTATATTTTGTACATCTGATATTTGAACAATATATATTCCTGCATACACATTAGTCCAAGCACACAAATCTTGTATGCAACAATATGTAAAATCTGCAACTGTATAACTTTGTACAATTATCTACAACACACAAGTTCCATTTTAAACACCTGACCAACATAGGTCTCTGTTCAACACTGAGAATTTCAGACTTAATCCTGATCACTGTCATCCTCGGTGTAAGCAGGACTAGTTAGAGAATATTTTGGTGTTGGTGTGGTTGGGGTATATGTTGGGTTGGTTGGGGAATAGTTTGGGTTACTCGGATTATATGTGGAACTAACAGGGGTATACTGGGGACTTGAGGCTGAATAAGATGGACTGTCAGGAGAGTACTTGGGACTTGTTGGTGAGTAAGCTGGAGGTGTTGGGGGGTACTGAGGTATCCTGGTATGCTAGTAGGACTGTATCCTGGACTAGTTGGGCTGTACTTTGGTGAGAATGGACTATATTTGGGGTTGCTTGGGGAGTAGGATGGGCTAGGAGGAGAGTAGGATGGACTTGTTAGGGTGTACTAGGGACAAAATGGAGAATAATATGGTGATATGGGACTTATGGACTTGTTGGACTGTATTCAGGGCTGCTTGGAGAATAGCTTGGACTGCAAGGGCCAAAAGTAGTACTTAAACGGGAAAAAGTTGGTGATGTTGGGTAGTAAGATGGGCTAGTTGGGCCATATATATGGCTATTTGGGCTGTATGTAGGGCTAGCTGGGCTGTATGTAGGGCTAGCTGGGCTGCATGAAGGGCTAGTTGGGCTGTTTGTAGGGCTAGCTGGGCTAGGAGAACTAATACTGCCATAATCAGTTGAAGATGTACCAGTTTGGCTGTCTGAACTGCTAGCTAGGCTAGAAGACATATCACTGTCTTTCTCAGTAAAGGATATACTAGTTTCGCTGTCTGAATCATAAGCTAGGCTAGAAGACATATCACCGTCTTCCTCAGTGAAGGATATAGTAGTTTGGCTGTCTGAACTGCTAGCTGGGCTAGGAGACGTATTGTCTTCCTCAGTGGAGGTCATACTAGTTTTGCTGTCTGAACTGCTAGCTGGGCTAGAAGAGCTATCACCGTCATCCTCAGTGGAGGACATACTAGTTTGGCTGTCTGAACTGCTAGCTAGGTTAGGAGACCTATCACTGTCATCCTCAGTGGAAGATGTACTAATCTGGCTGTATAATGGACTAGCTGGGCTATAAGACCAATCACTGTCATCCTCAGTGGAAGATGAACTAATCTGGCTGTATGAAGGGCTAGCTGTGCTATAAGACCTATCACTGTCATAATCAGATGTTTCAGGCTGCCATGGGAGCATCATAGGTAACATTCCTACTGCTGAACTTCTAGACAATCCAAAGAATATCCCAGTTCCAACTGAAAAGAATTAAACAGAAGTAAAGCTGATTCTTACTTGAAAACTGTAAAAAAATAAAAGATCACCATTTGATAATCTTTCTGAAAAGCACATCCTATAAGACTGCTCCATGTTTTGCATAAAAATTTAAGTTCATGTTACAAGTCTGTTAAACGTTTCCATGATGATCAGAATTTATTTCAAAATTACGTGGTTGTCAAAATACATGTACTTCAATGTAACCAGACTTTCCATGTATGACCCCACTGCAGACCCAAACATTCAAAGTCTGTAAAACTAAATTATTTAGAAAAATTTAATGACTTGTTACAATACAATGGAATTTGTATAAAATCATCTATTTAAGCAAACAAAGCACATATCAAATTTCATCTGTCATATTCACTATGGTTTCTGATACATTGCATTAAAAAGTTATAGTTTTATAAAAGACCCCAAAGATAAAAAATTAGTTAAAATTGTGTGTGTGATTTAATTTTTAACATAGCTATAAAAATTTTAGTTGTATCACTATAATGTCTGCATCCAGTCACATTATCCAGACACCAAGCTGACCAGACCTAAAATTAACATCTTAATGCTGAGTGTCAAGCAAGGTTGCCACCAGTACCATTTTCAAGAGTTTTTGAGAGGACTTGACCAGGGTTTGAACTCGGGACCTCCCATATCTCAAGTAGATGCTCTAACTACTTAAGCCACTGGAGTGGTCCATACAATTGTTAAAATTGCTTTATAAAAACATGAAAATCTAAACAGGTCACTGGCATAT